TCAAACAGTGCAAATGAGATTCATTTGAAAATAATGGTCAAATGCTAACTGAAATCGTCCATACCTCTCTTGGATCCGATCCCACGCGGACAGATGGCTGGTTCAGTGGGCTGCCGAGAGCTGTTCATGCCATTACCATTGAATGATACTGTAACATATAACACGACTTAGTTATAGAAGGAGGTATAAAATTTATAAAAGATCAACGAGGGTGCAGCTGCATTGATCTTCAATGCAACCAATGGAAATGAGGCAGAACGAGGTATGAGATAAACAATCACAAATAAGTAGATAATGAAGCTCGACCTCAACTGCTATAGTTTCAAAAATCGGAATTCACACCCGAAGGGATTACATGTAATTAAAAAATGGAAGAAAGTGAATTGGAAGAATCATGTGTTGTTCTATCGCACTGAAAGTAAATGACAACAAAAACATTCGACTTCAGTTTCCTTCATTCCTTGGAATTCCTTCATTCGGTCACGTCGAAATAAAAAAAGGCAGTATGAACAGACCTCCTCAGCGTGCTACCCACACAATTAGATGCCATCCCAGTAAATGAGTGAACATTGCAACACATCCAAAACTAACCAATGAGTCGCCTGTACAAGAAATTTGAGCAAAGTAAAAGAATGTAGCAATGCTGCATAGTTGCCACAGCCTTCATTCCGCGCATGCCCGGTCCCCACGTTCCGTTCGCGGCACGCGGCAGATCTTTTTTAGTTGTCTCGCGGCTTCAAACTGCAACTACCGTACTCAGTCCGCCTCCCAGCCAGTCGATAGTACACCATATTTTTTGTTGACTGCCCTTTTTTATTGGTTTGATTGTTTCCTTTTGTTTCTTTTTTGTTTTTATGTTTATTAATATTGCTCGTTCGGATGCTTCGGAATATTGCTTGTTCGGAATTGCTCCTTCTCTATTGTTGGCGATCACGAGCCCACGGGGAAATTGAAGAAGATGGCCAGCGAATATAAATAATTAAAGGACTCCCTAACTCACGACGCGCTTTAATCTTTCATGGCATTTCTGCGATACCCGGCGGGTGCGGCATGCGCGATGCGGCATTCGGGGAGAAGATACCGGACCCGATACTGGTTCAGCATAATTTGTATTTGTGCCTCTCTTAGAACGCAGGCAATTATAACCCAGAATAAGAAGCGTTGATGAACCACTTGTCGGAACCTTCATAAGGAAAAAGCAATAGTAAGTTACGTCGAGAAAAGAGTTGGGAGGAAAAAAAGTGTGGTGTTTGACCGCCCCATAACCTTTGCCCAGAATCACATCCCAATCGAAAGAATCTCGATCCTCCCAAAACTCTTCTACTGATTGTGAGGTGAGATAGTAAGTTACGTCGAGAAAAGAGTTGGGAGGAAAAAAAAGTGTGGTGTTTGACCGCCCCATAACCTTTGCCCAGAATCACATCCCAATCGAAAGAATCTCGATCCTCCCAAAACTCTTCTACTGATTGTGAGGTGAGATCTTTGAAGCACGACCCGTTGCCATCAATGTGCTGCACAGCACTCACAAGCCAACTCAGGCCAAGCCAGCCAGATCGGCTCATTCACTTGAGTGCATGACTAACTACAGCGGTATAGTAATACATCTGCCAACTCTGGAACGAACTTCTCTTTGATCCGCCTGACCTTTCCACCGTCTACATACATGAACACAAACGTGGCAAATTCATCTTCGGCTCCAATTCTTCCCTTACCACTGAATCGCACTGGTGAAACTTCTGCGCTTATCAATGTCCATAAGCGCTTTCATACCGTCTCTCAGTATTAACTGGCATTTTGGCCAGCAATATCTCGCTTCATCAAAGGCGTAGTTAGGAGTATTTCATTCCAGACGAATAAT